GCCCAAAACCCAAGAAGCGGTAACTTACTTTGTGAGAAAAGCTGAGCTTCGATGCTCCAAAAACTCTTCTTGCAGTGTTTTCTAAAATTCTTCAGTTAAATATTATAGTAGAGAAAGCACGTATTTAAGTGGTCTATAAATCCGCAGTTCGACAGAATTAGCTGCGTACTTTCATTAAAATCTATTTACAGTAGAAAAACAGCACTAAGTAGTATATTCTTCTTTAGTGACTATGAACAAGGGGCACTCGTGGATGGTTCAGTTGCAGACGAGTGATGTTACCATAGAAAAACGTACGTTTGTTGAAGTCTCAGTTTAATCTATTTTTTACCCATAAGTTTTATAACTGTGTAAAAGGCGAAAAGATGACTATGCAATCTGTTTAATTTGCAAATTATCATAATAGATATAACCATCGGTTGTTGATTGCCAGTAAGTTTGACTGCCCCCACGAAATGAATGAAACATCAAACGATTGATTTGTCGTTTACTGTCGTTAGTTGTCCAGCGGATTGCTCTGTCGAGAACAGCAGCACCATTAATTTTTACTTGAACATGACCGTTTTTGTCAGATCCCGTGTTACTTTTTACATACAAGTGAATCTTGTACCATGCTCCTTTTCTCAAACTGCCACTTGATGGATAAGATACACCAAAATCGTCTCCACAATTAGTAGGCATATCTTTATAGTAGACATATGGTTTTAAATAGACTCGATTTGAATTGTCATTGTACCACATTATACGTAGACTGCCACCATTACCATCGGTAGCTGGATTACAACCTGTATTACCGTTTCCAAGACCGAATCCAAAGCCAACTTTTCCTCCTCTGCTCCAGTCAAATTGAGAATGAAATTTGAGATCGAAATCAAGCTCGTAAGCTGTTCCTGATGGCAAGTCCATGTTGGCTATCATCCCGCAAGCACCGCTCAGAGCATTCTTTTCTAATGTGATTCTTGGCGAGCCACCTGAAATATAGGCGCGATTATTTTTCCAACCTCGAATATTGCCAAAATCTGATTTGGCTGTTGAATCTTTATATTCTCCATTTGGATGGTTATTCCAGTTGAGCGATTTTTGATAGAGACCGTCGACAGCTATAACATGTGAAAAAATTGATTTCCTACACTATCATTATAATAGATCAGTTTTCTTTTTGGAAGGCGAATCCGGCTTCGTTGTTTTCCAAAGATAAATTACTTACTGTAGTCAGATAAAAATACTAGCAGTAGGAGGACTCTCATAGTTGTGAGTATCGTTTTTTTTTCAAATTTCTGTGAAAAGCTCGGTTTATAAACGATTAGACAGGGTTTAAGTGTAATCAATACTTGTCAAATTGATTTTTTAATCTGCGCATTATAAGCACATTTTTTTCCAACAGTTAAAGTACAAATTCTGAAAAACATTGACTGTAGAATTACGATAGCCTTAGAAAAGTTTGCGTGGAACTGATCAAAACGGAAAGGGATAAGATCATTGAGATATTTCTAGTTTTACTACTCATGCAAAGTTATTTTCTGAGATCAATGTTCGATAAAGGAAACTTGTTGAAAGATAAAAACAGTCTGGCAGCTTAGTCTGTTAGAAATGATTATTTCGACAAAAAAATCCTGGATTATGTTTCAATGATTTTACTTTTAGTAAAAATTTCCATCCGATCAACAAACCTTTCCAAATGACAAGAAAGTGATTCAGAAAACAGCGGTCTTCATTTATTTAATGAACGAAGACAGGAGTACAGATGTTCAAGATCAAAGAAATATCTAAAATGCATGACAGCTTATAAAAGCAATAACGAAGTAATATACGCCTTAAAAAAAAGAACGAACAAAGAAAATGTGCTATGAAAGCTACAAGAAAATAAATAAAAGCACACGTTTGAGAGGAAGGGATGATTTCGTTATACCAGTGCGAGTGTGTATGAGGAGTGGTGACGAATATATATATATATACTGTGTGTGTTTTTTTGCCTAAGTGTAGCTAACGATGATTACAGTTGTAATCGGAAGCTTTGTTTTAAATAAAAGTTTTAAACCAATGACTGTTGAACTCATACAATTAATCTTTTCGTTTATGCCCGTTTGGTAAAGAAATTTTAAAAACTTTTGCTCTTGCAGAAAGACGAATGAAAGTCCCGTTACTTTCATTGAAATGTCTCCTGCAAAGTGATTATGACCTGGAGTTTTTGAGGGCACAAGACTTTCACTAAAAATTTTAATGAACTTCCTATTAATGAAGCTTTTTTTAATGGAGATTTTTTAACTCCTCTTTATTCGTTTTTGAAGCCTTCAAAACTGGTCAAATTTAATATCTCATTGGACCGGTAGTCTTGTAGGTAACTCTGACTATAGGTAGATACAAAATAATCTGATTCGAGGTAGATACAATAAAATTTATTTTGGACTTGATTCTCTTATCACAGGCGCACCAGCTGCGGAAATAATTAGGTGGAACACCACCAAGTCTCGTAAGAAGACTAATCGTTTTGTAGCCCCTATTTAGAAAAACTCTGTTTTGTACGTTGTACCACCTAACTGTATGGTATGATTCGATACAACCATTTCTATGAGATTAGGCGAAATACATTTTGCCAACGTAATGCGATTTTCTTTTGAAATTCTGAATATAGCTAATGGAACCACCGCGCTGGATTTTTGCCTTTATCTTCCTAAATCAAGCCAGTTCAGTATTGGCATAAAACAATTCACATACTATCCAACCCATGTCTTATCCATGAGCAAGATGAAATCGTAAGGTTCTGGTGGATAGATGAAGCACACATTTTTTTGAACTTTTATTCATTTTGCCAACACAACAACAAACAAAACAAAGCATTGTTCAACAAGACAGCGGAAAAAATGCAGTTATATAATCTAAAATCCTACCACCTTGAATGGGTAGAAAAAAAGGAAACAAATAAAGAGAATAATAAACAAAATGAGAATAAAAGAGCGACACAATCACCATAAAAAGAAACCTTCTAAGTATGGAATGTAGCAGCGACCTGTTCACATCAGGATTATTTAGCGATAATAATTGTACGGCATGGAGAACATTCATGAATGCGTATTGTGTCTTCAAATTTAACGATAAACGAGTGTAATAATGATTAATAATTTTTAATTTTTAACACTAGAACGCCCCGAAAATTTCATGATCTAGAACGCCCGAAGCGGTCATTTTGACCGTTACTGTTTTTTTAAAAATTTTATACTTAAAAATGGTTTTGAATTAAAAATTCTGCAAAAAATAATTTTTGTGGGGCAAATTAAAAGTTATGACATAATTTATTTTTAAATCAATTGTATGCAGTTTGTTTTATTAAGGATAAAAATCACAAAACGGTCAAAATAACTGCTACGGGCGTTCTAGTGTTAATGTTTTGCTTTATCACACCTGCACTTTCGAAAACCCTCTCTGAGTCATACAAGTCTGAAATTTGTTCCTCCTCTTCTACGGAATTTGCTCATCCCTCGCATGTCCCTTAAAACAAATTGTATTCCCATGTTGGACTAATTCTGTTATATATAATACTTTTTCGTACTCGAACCCAATAACTGTTTGGATAATACATGTTTTACATTTCCTACATACATAGTATTGAACGACACATTACCCACGCAAGCTGTACGAAATAATATGAGTGTACATAATGCGTGTTTTATTGTGATAATATTATATTTTCTTGGAAATAATTCTTTTAAATGAACTTACTGAAAAGTTTACTAAATTTAACGGAATTAATATAGATATAACTTTTTGAACTGAATTCCGCGTTATGATAGTGATCCCTCGTGGGAGAATCAACAGACTCTGCTTCACTTGATGAGGTTCCCTCACGAGACTCATTACTATCAAACATTAAAGAAATTCGTGTGCACAATATTTAGCAACGTAAAGAGGAATTAGGTAATGATTCGCAAAGGAAGAGTGTGCCGAAAATTCGGAAGGTACACACAAAAATAGATTTTCTTTAAATATACATGGTTCGATAGCCCGTGAAACGTAGATTCCGAATATCACATTTTTATTCACTTTTGTTCAAGTTTTGAGGAGAAATCTTCAAAATACATCTTCATACATAGTATCTTCAGAATACTGTTTTAGTCCACATTTAGCCCAGTTTATTATGGCACACCCGTTAATCATAATTTCGATTAAATAGTCGGTAAAACATGCAGCAAGAAGATGTGAGGTACACCACCCGAAAATCCTGAGATTTACAAACCCCCATATATGAAAAGATGCATTCAGGCCTTGGTTACAAAATGGTGAAAACCGCAGATCTCTACCTTTTTCCTTCAAGAGTTATTCAAATAATATCCGACTCGGCTGACTCGTTTTTACAGATAACAGAATACCATCTTTTTAGTGTTAGAACGGGTTCGTAACTGCGTTTTCTCACCTAGGCAGATGTAGTTATGAAGCAGAATAACATACTAGGCTGGACTAATGGCTTAAGACGAATATGTAAGTATACTCTATGTGTATACCATACATATGTTCGTGGGTTCGAACCCTACACCTGAAATTCTTTTTATTTTTGGGACGGGGTTGCAACGGGTCATAAGTGCGGGCCGTTCTCCCATCCGTTTCCACAGGTCAAAGTACGGGCCGTTCTGGAACGGGAACGAGGATACCTCGTTCTTTTTCCGTCGGAACGGGTACAGGTACGGGCCGTTCTCGGATGGGTCAGTACGCCTCCGTACTTTTCAGCATGAGAACTGGTTATGGTATGGGCGTCTTTTCATGGCAGAACGTGTTAGGTACGGTCCCGTACTTCTTTATGTCATAACGCGTTGAAGTACGGCCACACGTACTTTTGTGATAGACGACCCCGACATCCCGTGCAATTTGGCCAAGTGACGGATCCCTTTTGGCTTGGTACGGGACGTATTTTAATTACTGCGACCCCGTACTTTTCCCCGTTCTTAACCTCTTGGGTAATATCTAAAAATGATATTGTTGCAATTTGATTAGAATTGATCTAATCCGTTGGCAATACGATGACTAACAATTTTATTATTTTCCATGTTTCTGAATAGTAACTCTATGTTAATGATGCATTATAAATTTTTACTAGTAATGATTGATATAAATATCCCGATTATTGTAATATCTGTATTCCTGTATAATCGGTTGCTGTTATACATAGCATCTTTATAATATATTTTCTAATTCGACCAGTGGCGAGCCGAAGAGCGCCACTTGCGCTGGCAAGGGGTGGCAGTAGCCAACGCAAATGGCGCTCTTCGACCCGCCACTGAATTCGACAAATATTATATGATTTTGATGAATATTTCAGTTAGTATTAATATGATTATCTTCTGCCTTATTAATAAAAACATTGTCTAAACAGAATTCATTGGTTAATTTATTTAGCTATTTCATGTTTTAATATTAATTCTTGATTATTTTGATTGATAAGATATGATTTGTTGTTTAGATTTTTTAGATATTTTCCGTTCTCTACCCAATGGACTTTTTTACACGAAAAATTTCCTTTGAACGTATTAAAATCGACATTTCGAACGTTTAATACCTGTGAACACATTAATTAAATTAAAAGAAATTTTAACGTCTTTGCATGCGTCAAAAGTTAATGGATTTTTGAGCCTCAAGAGAGGGTCCGCGAGAAAACCGATCTGCATAGAGAATAGTGGCCGGAGCTAAAATTTTTTTTTCTGTTAGTACTCTAGTTCGAAAGAGCTCATCGAAAAACTAAGAAATCCAAGATATCTCGCCTTCGTATGGCACTGTTCATGAATTTAGGGGTCTTAACTTTTCAGTCATCACCAGAAGCTCCATTTGTGGATGAGATCAATGTTTCTTTATTATCTCAGAAACAGCTTGATCCTTACGGCCCGTTCACATCACATATGGAAGAGAAATATTTGGTCTACAAAATCATTGCAAAAAGGTATAGTGACAGGTAACATACTGGGCTTTCAATAATTCATTATTTCTTCAATTTTTTGCGGTACTTCGACATGCACCGATGTCAAATTCATAATCTACGTATGATTCCCCGTATGAAACTGACTCTAGAAATATTATTTAGAGTCTGATTCTGTATCATACGGCCAAAGCAAAAATTCATAACCAACTAATTTTGCAACAAATTTTGCAAACGTATTTAGCTTTTCTGTTAACGGACGAAGCCATGATTTACACCGCATTTGATTCGTCTTTACACGGACCAGAAAAGTATGCAGAGCTTTTCTTAAAATTCCTTTTCACTGCT